CAAGTCCTCCATCACACCTACTCTGTGGCTCACTTCCACTGCTGTAGAAGCTGTAATACCTGCTACCTCAAAAAATTCTCTTTACCCCATAATTGCCTTCAGCTATGACCTCATCTCTCTCCTCCTTTCAGAGCAAAGCCCCGGATGAGTCCTGCCCTCCTCATCTCTACGTGGTCTCCCGTTCTCCCTTGAGCCCACTCCTCTCAGGTTTTCGTGCCCACCGCGATGGGACCCTGTGGCTGACAAACCCAGTGGTCACTGCATCTGACAGGTGGCTCACCACTTCCTGGACCCCTCCCTTTGCTTAGCTTCCAGGTGTGTCTCCCACCTCACTAGCTGTCCCATCTTACCTGCTCATGCTGCATCAGCCTCGTTTTCCTCAACCCGAAAGTGTCTGGGGGGCCCAGGATGAGTAGTCCTTGGACCCTCCTAGTTTCCCCCCTCGGGTACCTTGGCTCTCATCATCTTTATCAGCATAACTCACATTTACATCCTCTGCCCCTCACCTCAGGAGCTCTGCTGGCACAGTGGTTAATCTGGCTGCCAACCAAAAAAGGGCAGTGGTTCCAAGCCACCAGCTGCTCCGCACAGAAACAGATGAGGCAGTCTGCTTCCACAAACATTTACAGCCTTGGAAACCCAATGGGGGTTGCTATGAGTCAGAATCGATCTGATGGCAGTGAGGTGGTTTGGTTTTGGGCCCTGACTGCTCTCTCCTCTGACCACCAGACTTGGATCTCCCACTAGCAGAGAGGCCTACCAGGCAGCTCAGTGTTAGCACCTGAAAAACAAACCTTCTCCCCCGCCTCTGAGCCCGATCCAGCACTTCCCCTCTCTGTGTACACTCACTCCCCCGGGGAAGCACCTCCTTCCATCCACCCTCACTTCCTGTGTGAGCTCAGGCAGTCTCCACAGATTGAGTACTCCTAAATTCCCAGCTCCAGCTCACACCCCTTCCCAGAACTCCAGACTCAAATCTCCTACCACCCATGCCACTTCTCTACCTGGCTATCTAAAACCAAAAAAAAAAAACCCAAACCCACTGCCATTGAGTCGATTCTGACTCATAGCGACACCCACTGGGTTTCTAAGGCAGTGAATCTTTATGGAAGTAGATTGCTCAGTGTTGCTTCCACGAAGTGGCTGGTGGTTTGAACCACCAACCTCCTGCTTAGCAGTCAGATGCCTTAGGCACTGTGCTACCAGAACTCCTTTGGCTCTCTAAAGGATATCTCAATTCTAACATGTCGGGGAACTGCAGTCCTGACCCCTCCCACCCCCACTTCCCCCAGACCCATTCACAGGGCAAAGTCGCCATGTCAGCTGATGGTAAATTTATCCCACCAGTTGCTCAGGCCAAAAGCCATGCCTGGTTCTTTCCCTCAACCCCACATCACTCTGCTCAAGTGTCCCGTTCCAGGACATCTCCCCCTTATTTTCCTTCAGACCTCTTAACATCTTACGTAAACGTTACGTACATGTGTTTACTGTGCATCTGTCTCTCCATGCTGGAAAGTGAGTGCCATGAGAGCAAGGCCTGAGTCCTTTGCTCATTGTCCCGTCCCCAGAATCTACGACAGCACCAGGCACATGGTATGCACCCAAATCACTCAACGAATTAATCCACAAAGTCTATCAATAATACAAAGTTCACAGTAAGCCCACATTGAGAATCGGGCACGATCACCCAGCAAGACAGCAAAACCTTTATGTATTTTTCTCACCCAGCTGCTCACTGACCATGAAAATCCAATCAGAAAGCATATCCAGTGCTTCCATATTCGTTTTATAAATACACAGACAACTACATGACGAAGGGGACTGAAGAGCCCAGACTCCTCGTACAAAATAGTTTTGTAAAAAACAAACTTTAAAAGCAACAGGGAACATATGCTTCTATGATGCAAACTTTAATTTCTAGACTCGCTCTAAGGCTTTCACTTTTCACTCTACACGTAGCTGCCCAGGGAGACAGGACAGGGCTCCAGACATTCACTCAACAGTCTTCCGACAAAAGCTACAGACAGCTGCTCTTCCTTTTTCCTTCTCAGGAAGATAAACAAGAAATAAGCAGAATGGACAAGATTTTGATTCAGACATTTGGGGAGAGTGGCCCAGGAAGCCTGCTCCTTAGGTGATTCTGATCTAGATTCAGGAACGAGATGCAGGAACCAGTGACCAGATGACCTTCATGAGATCCGTCCAAGCCAGAAACCCCACAATCCTACACAAAGTGTTAGCTTTAACAGCACCACAGGTTGAGGGTCAGAACTTGTTTTCACCTCCCTTAGCCACAGCAGACCTGTGACTGCAGACATGAGTGAGCGAGCGGAGAGGAACCAAGCACATTGTTAGCTAGTACTTAAGTCAAGGAAAAAGGACATTTAAGGAGGCAGCGGTGGGATTAAAAGTCCAGGGCAGCAGCTACGCCACCCGGATGTGCTAGAAATGGAGCTCACAGACCCAACCTCAAACTAAGTTTGACATCATTCTCAGATGATTGCTAAGCACTGGCAAGCAGACCACTGGTTCTCAATGAAACATCAGAATCATCTGAGAACTCCTTGGAAAGACAGACACCTGGGCCCCATCCCCAAAGGGCTCGGGCTCGGATTCACTGGGTCTGCAGTAGGGGTCCATGCTTTTTTTCTTGGTTTTTTGTTTTTTTTTTTTAACAAACCCATGGTGTCCTGTCGATTCTGACTCATAGCGACCATATAGGACAGAGTAGAACTGCCTCACAGGGTTTCCATGACAGTCATCTTTACGGAAGCAGATGGCCACATCTTCCTGTCTAGAAGCTGGAATTGGAACCGCCAACCCTTCGGATAGCAGCCCAGCCTTTAACCACTGCGCCACCAGGGCTCCTTGTACTCTTAAGAGGACTCCTATAATGTACTAGCCCGCAGTTTGAGAAACACTGGTCCGCGAAGACCTCTGCAAGAGATTATCGTCCCGCCAGGATAAGCCCCTGCCCAAGCTCCTCTATAAAGTTCTTGTAAGTTGCCCTCCAGTCAATTCCCGCTCAGGACGAGCTGAGTGGACTGTCGCCGGAGGGTGTGCGCCGCCCCAGAGCCCTCATCCAAAGTTGATTGGTACCACGGCGCCGACTCCGACTCACACCGACCCCATGTGACAGAGAACTGCCCCATAGGGTGTTCGTGGCTGCAATCTTTACGGAAGCTGATCGCCAGGCCCTTCTCCAGCAGAGCCGCTGGGTGGGTTCCAGCCGCCAACCCTTCGCCAGCAGCCCAGTATCTAAAGTAGCTCCAGTTAAACTATATTAACCGTTTCGCTTGTTTCAGAACACTCATCACAGTTGGAAGTTTGTTGCGTGTCTCCCCATCCCAGACAAAAAGTAAACTCCAAGACGGCACGACTTCTCCGTATTTTTCTTACGCAGCTGCTCGCTGATTACGAGAATCCTATTAGAAGCACCCCCATCACCCCAACAACCCCCATCCGCCTCTACGGGAACAAACAACACGAGGCATTTCCGGGGCGCATCGGTGCCCACCGGCCGAGTGCCGGGGGACGCCAGGTGGGCGCTGTGGACAGGCAGGGAGGACGACCCTCGCTGACCGTTATCTCGAATCCCGCGCCCCCACCCCCAGTCAGCTGCCCTCGTCTCAGGCCTCACCCCTACACGCCACACGCTGGTCACCTGCCACCTCCGACCCGAGGCCGCCAAGTCTTCCCAAGAGTGTAGCCGTTAAGAAGCACAGCCTCTTCTTTTTAAATATGAGTTAAACCCTCTAACCCGAAAGCTGATTGGCCTGCACTGAAGACAGACTGCTTTCTGATTGGTTAACAAAGGACCGGCTATCGAGTCACATGACAAGGCTGAGCTAAAGCGCAGGCACCCCCCCCCATCCGTAAGACCCCGGAAGTGGTGGCTCCAACTGCCCGCTAGACCCGTGGCCGTTCTAGATCCCGCGGTGCTCTTGGGCGCAGGGCATTTGTCCGAGAGACAGCACCTTCCTGGCGTCGGGGCTGACTCATAGAAAATAAAGCCGGGAGAGGTGAAGGAACCTCTCGAAAGTGCCAGTAAGTAAGATGGCGAGGAGGGCAGGAGAGGATGGGGCTGATCGATAGCGCAGTGCTCGGTGAGGCGCTCTGTGCGCTCGCGCAGTGAGTGTGCACGCCGAGCGATTGATTGGGCAGGATTCGCGCCTCCATTTTCCTAAGAGAAAGCAGGAGACCGCGGGAGCTGGACCAGCAGGTAAGGAAGCCCCGGGATGCGGAGAAAGTGGCTCTGAGGTCGGCTGGGTCTGCATGGGCCCAAGGGAAGTACTGGAGCGAGACGAGAGGGTCGAGAGTGAGCGGAAGGGCTTGCGACTTGAGATCGCGTGTCCTGAGTTGCAGTGCTGGGCCTGCATACCCTTCCTCTTCAAAGGACGTGGCGCCCACTCCCACCCTGTCCTTAGTTCGGCTCTGCTTTGGGGTGGCTGCGGCGGCGCATACAATGGGGGAGCCTGTGTTTTCTCCCGGGCTGAAGTGGTCCTGGGTCAGGTTCTTCCTGACCTCGGGCATCAGTGTCCCTACCTGCAAATTGGAGGTAGCAGTAGGCTTGTGCTGGCCCGGCCAGTGAACATTCCATGGGAGTTGGGAAGCGGGGCCTCGCCCTCTCTTTTGAACATCCCTGTGCACGCCATGATAGGAGTGAACCGACAGGACAGAGTAGGAGTTAAGGGCTCTGGATGGGTCACCCAGCCACGCTTGACCTGAATGGGTTTCCTAACCGCTCTGAGCCCCATTTCATTTTTGCGCCCCAGCGTTGCCCGCACAAGCATGGATATACACACACATTTGTTTCTGCAGACAGTTGCATGCGTTGAACGATTTCATTCAATGAACTGATGCTTTTAAAGTGCTACTGTATATGGGGGAGCTCTGGTAGCATAGTGCCTAAGGCACTTGACTGCTAACCAGAAGGCTGGCGGTTCAAACCCACCAGCCACTCCTCGAGAGGAAG